TGTTCTGTGAATGTGCAGATTGAAGGTCCTGTATAATAGAATAGAATAGAATGCTTTATTGGCCAAGTGTGATTGGTCACACAAGGAATTATCTTTGGTGCATATGTCTCAGCATACATAAAAAGACAAGGTACATTCATCAAGAATCATAAGGTACAACACTTAATGATAGTCATAGAGTACAAATAAGCTCACTATTGTGTCCTTCATGTGATAATCGCCACATAAATATGAGGAAGCTACAGTCTCCATAGCAGGAACAGTAGAGAGGCTTTATGAATAGTGGCATTGGCTAAGTGTGCAATATGAAAGCTTTCATCTTAAGAAAAATGTGCCTTGCTCATAAGTGGAGACTTTCTTCTTTGTCCTCCAGTTTCCTCTGCTCTATTCTTCAGAGCACCAGTTCAACAGCTTTCAGTATGATTCAGGAAACAGAGAGCTATAAATAGAAATCCTCTAAATTTAGCAGTACCTCCTCAAAGTTACTTGGTATATCTATATAACATTGTACTGTATCAAATGTTATCTTATTCCTAGGATCGAGATGGTGAGAAAACAAGGCACAGTTCAAATACATTATTTAAAAACCTCTGTTTGTAAACCATTGGTTCAGACATTAAATTCAAAGGAAGTTTAGTTACATTTTTGAATTTGTATTCAAATTGTCTTAATCATTCAGAAGCAACTAAAACTGTATCTCATTATCAAGCAGCCCCAATTACCACTTGAGCTGTTCGTTTACTTAGCATTCTTGCACTGCAAGGTGACAATAAAAAATACTTGGGGTACAATGGGAAAGTTTTTCAGTAATTTCGTATGAAAAACGTGTGTGATTCTGCACCTTCATGAATGCCATTAGTCAACGGAATGAAAAACCCTGAATTTGGCCCGTTTTGGAAAAAAAACAATTTGAAAAAAGATATAATCCTGATTCAACACTTTGAATTGAAACGTTGATTTCATTAAACATATAGAGATCATCAAATCGAGTGTTTTAAATTGAATTGACAACGTATAAATCAGATTTGAGTCAGTCTGTACAACCCTGACAGATATCTAAATCTCTGTGTAATTTGTGTAACCATTGCAGGAATGGGATTTGGTGACAGAACAAGTACGTTCTGTGGCACTCCAGAATTTCTTGCTCCAGAAGTATTGACAGAAACATCTTATACAAGAGCTGTAGATTGGTGGGGTCTTGGTGTACTCATCTATGAAATGCTGGTTGGTGAGGTAAGTTTCACAAAACGTATGGACGTTAATAGACACATTGTCAGCTGTGACCAGGGGGGCATTTGCCCAGGTTCGCCTGGTGCACCAGTTGCGTCCCTACCTGAACCGGGAGG